TTTGAGGGGCTTATTTCTAGTCTTTTTTTGGTCATTTTCAAAGAATCAGTGAAGTCGTTGGGAGAGGCCAGTTCTGAGAGATAGCAGATTCACTCAAATGTGAATTGAAGATTGGGAAGGGGAGGAAAACTTCTATGACGATTTACTTGCTTGTGAAAGGGTTGTTTTTTTTGTTTTTGTTTTTTTTTTTCCTGTTTTTTTTTTGTTTTGTTTTGTTTTTTTTTCCCCACTCCCTAGGGCACACTGTAGATAGATGAAGATTGATTCTTCATTGCCTCTCTATATGCATTTTTTCCTACAAGAGATGCTGCAAACTTTTCTTTAAGGCATAAGAGGGCGCAGAGCACAGATGTTTCTGTCTTAATTGTTTAGGCCCAAGGATATTTGTGGTTTACCAGAGGAAAGCAAGTGTGTACATACACTTGCTGAAATGAAGCCTAGTAAGACTAGGCTTTTCTGAACTCTTGCCTTATACATACCAAACAGTCCTGGTTTTTGAAGGTCTCATTCTGTTTATCTGCGGTTTGCTTTCTGGCAGGCTGAAATTATCTGGGGCTCAGGTGGTGGCCTGAGTTCCTGTTGTCTTCATCTACTATATGATGTTGGAGAATCTTTCAGTGTCACCTGCCCGACATCTTTCATGTGACATGTCAGTGCAGGTAAGGTACAATATTTGGAGTTGAGCACAGTCTCTTCTCCTCTTCAGTATACAGATTAAGATACTTTGAGGTTGTCCTGGTAAAAGGTTTACAAATGGGCAGAAACAGGGGCATGTAACTCTTTGTTGTGGCCATTTCTACTCGGCAGAGTCAAGGTATCACTGAAGACCATGTCAAAACTCTAATTGGTATAAGTCAGGTCAGGACTGGATTTGAAGAAAAACAGATATGAGGGAACTGAGGATGTTATAGGAGAGCAAATAAAATACAAATTTCTGATAATCTGAAATTAGAGTTTCAGCCAGGTAAACTAGATTAAAAGCAAAAAAAAACCCCACAGCTGAACACTTTTGTAACTTAAATTAACCATTTCCTAAGATGCAGAATGGAGGAGAGCATTCATTTAGTGTTCCTGCTTTGTTGTTCAAAGGAAGCCTGTAGAATTTGCTCTTTCACCTTGTACAGTGAAGGATCACTTACATCATTAGTTTGTATAAAGTAGTTCCTAAACAATACTTTTAAATGTTTTTTTAAACTTAATTTCAAGTGGCTGTAGTTTTCAGTAGAAAAATGAAAGCAGTTGTAGACACTGAAATTATGAGGTAGGGGAGCCACACATGCGCATATTTATGGCGTTATTGTCCCAAGTAACACATGTAATGCAAAAGCAGGAGTGCTTTTTCTATTTCAGTGGAAAGCAGGGGCATAACTGAAAGTGTTGAGCTGCTACTAATCTGTTATTGCAATTAGCTACCTCTGTCACATTTTATATGAAGAAGAAAGGGGGGATAAATTGAAAGTAGCACATAAAATATTGTTTTAACGTTACTGCTGACTAGATCTGTAAATGGAAATAATAAATCCTTATACAGCATTGAGTGTAATACTAAAGTATTCCCACTAGCATATGTTATTTTCAGCTGTTCTAAACTTTTATTTCTTCTATTTGTATATCTCTCTTTTTGAAGAGGTTAGACCTGACATGGTGCTCATGGTTAGCTCTTTTTGTGTTAGCAAATCAGTTTTGGCTAGATTCTACAGTCACAGTGGATATAATGGTTTTATAAAAATCAAATAATGATTACATTGTAATCTGCTGGGAGGGTAAGACAAAATAAATTTCCATAAAATATTGAAATTAAATTGTATGAACTATTTTTTTTTAATTGCTTCAAGATATGCTTATAAGTGGAAGGGAGTTGATGTGTCTTTACATTTATCGTCCCCAGAGCTCCTTAGGTAATACAGTAATAGAAATGTTTATCATTAAAGCTCATGTGAAAAAAATGGCATATATAAAAGTTTCTGAAGTTCAGATTGAAAGTTTAGGTGAAAGCCTAAGTATTATTTGCATTAGTTTTGGACTTAAGGTACAAGAGTAGCGTTCAAGTTCAGTGCTTTTGTTTGAGTTCTTGAGTTTCCCTGAGTGTCTGATCCAAATTTGCATTACTGACTTCTCTTTGCATCGTATCAGATTCAGAAGATGTGTAATGCTCAGAATGAAGAAGGTAGTGACGTATCTTGTGTTGCTGAAACACACAAGTTTGTAGACCAATTACTTTAAAAATAATTCAGTTTACCAAACTGAAACTTGGGAGGTTATCTCTGAACATGAAATAACACTTTTTAACTGTGAGGGTGACTGAGCACTGATACAGTTTTCCCTGAGACATTGTAGAATTTCCATCCTTGAAGATATTCAAAAGCTTTCTGGACATGGTCCTGGGCAACTGGTTCTAGGTGACCCTGCTTGAGGCGGGGGGTTTAACCAGATGGCTTCCAGAGATCCCTTCTAACCTCAATGTTCTGTGAGTGGATGACTTGAAAAATCTTCATTGTCATAGAATCACAGAATCGTTCTGCTCCCTGCTCTGCCAATTCCCTGGGAAGGGACTTCTTTCATGAGATCATGTTGCTTAAAGTCCTTGTGCAACCGGACTTTCAACACTTCAGCAGTGGGGCATCTACCACTTCTCTGGGCAACCTGTTCCAGTGTCTCTCGCTACCCTTACTATAAACAGTTTCTTCCTTATGTTCAATCTGTATCTACCCTCTTTAAGCTGAAAATTATTGCTGCTTGTTCTGTCGCTATGGGCCTTGGAAAAATATCTCTCCCTATCTGTCTTATAAGCCCCCTTTATATACTGAAAGGTTACAGTAAGGTCTCCCAGGAGCCGTTTCTTATGCAGGCTGAAAAAACCCAACTCTCAGCCTTTCTTCAGAGGAGAGGTTCTCTAGCTCTCTTAACAGTTTTTGTGGCCTCCCTCTGGACCCACTCCAACAGGTCCATGATTTTTTTGTACTGGGTACCCCAGAGCTGCATGTAGGAAACCTGAGAACAGAGTAGAAGGGGCCAATCACTTCCTTTGACCTGCTAGCTGCATCTTGGGAGCTTTTGTGAAGGTGTAACTACACACTCATATGAAGACATGCACAAACATGATCTCTTCAAATGTTTGCTAAGAGAGATCCAGCTTCAAAGGATAGATTTCACAATTGTGGTAGGAAGTCACTGTATTAAAACTTATGAGCTTTGTTAAGATCAGAACATAGTGCTGATGTTTCTCAAAACTGATCTAGTTGGCTTGGTTACAGGGCATGCTAATGGATCTATTTCTGCTTCTGACTTGCAGTAGTTGCACGTCCAGAGGATAATTTTTGCATTATCTGTTGATTTTTATGCATAAAAGTTAAGGGTTGTTGTGCTTTAACCCCAGCTTGCAACTAAGCCCCAGCTGGTGGGATGGGGGAGAGAATCAAAAGAGTAAAAGTGAGAAAACTTGTGAGTTGAGATAAACAGTTTAATAGGTAAAGCAAAACCGTGCACATAACCAAAGCAAAACAGAGAAAGTTTTCACTGCTTCCCATCGACTGGCAGGCGTTCAGCCATCTCCAGGAATGGTGGGAGGAGCAGAAAAGGCCTTTACTCTTGAGTAAGCACTGCTTAGTGAAAATTAAAACATCCCTGTGTTATCAACACTGTTTACAGCACAAATCCAGAACATAGTCCCATACTAACTACTATGAAAAAAAATGAACCCTATCCCAGTCAAAACCAGCATGTGTAAATAATGGAATAATCGATACATCTCCCCTTATTAAAACAAAACAAGTAAACAAGAAAGTAAACAAGAAAAAGTGTAGTCCTACTAGTCCTTCAAATTTGGCATACCTCAATTGTTCTTTGGAGATTGATTTCCAAATCTATAGTCAATGTCAAAGGAGAAGGTGTAGTGCAATCACATTAATTCATCCCTGTGGAAATACCTTCAGTAATTCATATGAAAAGATGTCCTATTACTCCTATATAGAGTCATCATTGTAGTCAAATTTTAAACAACAAATTTAGCAGAGTTTTCATCTGTTCTGTTTCCAGAGTATGAGCTTATAAATTATGGAAGAAATACGTACATATTTCCTAAGTACATGAACATGCACTCTGTATTGCAGAGTTTGTACTCCATTTGCCATATTCAGACCACAGAGTCACTCAAATCTTCCTGATGTTGTTTTGATCTTCCACTATACAGAAAGTGAATCTATATTTTTGTCTCATCTCTTAACCCCAGAAACATGTTTCTTTTCCCAGAGCTGTGTTTTTGTTTTTGTTGTGTTTTTTTTTTTTTTTCCACCAGGAAATGTTGTTTCCAAAATATACCCTTCAGAAGATCCTCTAGTAGAATAGCAGGTTGCTGTTTGTCCCTGTGCCAGTTTCGTATTTATCATTCTTTTCTCATCATGTTCTCTTTTCCTTTAGCTTAAATTATTATTTTGTATGTGGTACTGTAGTGGTTGTTTTACTGCAGTCAAGATAAATGAAAGCTGTAGTGTACCCATCTGGGAAATTAACTTTGTTATCAAAAATGTAAAATAAAACTGGCACAGTTGACTTTTGGTAAGCTCATACTGCATTTAATTAAATTTCCCATTTACGTCAATGCTGTTTTTTATCTTTCCTTTATAATTTAAATATTGTGCAATATTGAAATGTGACTAATGGGCTTTCCATTCAGGAATTGCTACCAATCCATATCAGTTTCTTAAATACAAGTGTTACCTTTTGTTTGCTTCCTAACAATTCTAGATAGTGAGTGTTTACAAACATGGAGTAAAAGGTGACTTCAGTCAGTTTGCCACCAGCCTTGCCTGATGACATGCTTTCCTAAATTATCTGGTCACCTTACACTACCCTTAACATAAGGGAGGGATGATTGGTACCAGTGTTGTGACATCATTCTCAAAGCAAAACTGGATGGTATATCCTGTTTAATCCTGTTAGTGTGATCATGTGTAGAAATCTTCAAAAACATTAATATTAACATAATCTTCTTTGTCTTTCAGAACAATGGGTCACTTGCTTGGTGCCAGAATCATAAACAGTGTTCAAAGGTACGTCCTTTTCCCCCGTCCCCCTCTCATTTAAGTTATCTAGCTGCTTTCAATCTCTTGTCCATAAATTAAGCGCTTTTCATCTCAGAAGCACTTGTTTATATTTTTATTTGGAAACCTCAACCTATAATAAAATATCCCAAATTAAAACCAAATGATTTACTCTTTCAGGACAGAGGAGTCATGTTTGAGGATATATATGAAGCATAGTTAAACCAACATAATTCTGTCGTTATCAGCAGACTTTGTCCTGGCTAAAATATGGTGTATCATTTATATTCTTTCAGTATTTTTGGTCCTAAGACAGTGAAACTGTCAAATCACTTAAAAGTCTTCCTTCAGCAGCACAGAGGTGTATCAACTTCTAACATTTTGTTTTGGTATTTGTTTTTTAACCTGACAGATTTTCTTTGAAAATATTCTTGATACAAATCCTAGTGGCACTACTGGTGCCCTGCGCTGTCTTAGCACTTTAAGCCTGGAGGCCTAGAGGGTAGGTGAGCTGTCAACTGATTCTGTTGTGCAAGAGTCTTTTTATGATGCCTGAATAGAAACAACAAGGGAACCTTGGTAGATCAAAGTTGAATGACACACTGGTGCTGGCTGTTCATAAATGTCATGGAAGATGTATCCATTGAAAATTTACATGAAAATGCTGAAGGTAGTATTTTTGTCTAATCTCCCTGAAAATGTGTTTTTACAATAATTTAGGCTTTTTAACTTCAATATTTATTCCTTATTCTATGAAGGTTTTATTGCAAATGGGATTAAATCCGAGTAGCATTGTTCTGTATTGTTTCAATAATGTAATCTATAAAAATGCTAATCCTTGATTTTTAACACATAACAATTTATTCTCTACATTTAAAGAGTGAAATTACTGTTTCACTAATCTAGTTTCTATTGAAATAAATGGGATTAGAAATGGACCAGTTTGGTATTGACTGTTATCTCAGGAAAATAAATGTCATTTGATTGCTTTTGTCAGTATTAAAACCAGGGTATAACACGGTCAGTATAAGAAGAGAATGGAACATTTTCTATTAGCTGTACCATGCTGCTGAGGGTTGCAACGGAATCTTATTATTCCTAAAAGCACCCAAACAAACAGAGGTGCAAAGAATGTGTTTTGTCACAACTGAACTGACTTTTAAGGAAAGCATGGGGTTCTTCTGCCACAGTGATCCTGATGTAATTTTCTTTTTTACTTGGTTATGGAGACTACCATGGTATGTCTGAATCTGAAGGTTTTCCAGTGCTTTGTGTCTGCTCAACAAAGAAGGTATCATACAAGACAAGTTGTCCAGCTTTTAAATCAGGGCAGAAGTTATAGGATTGTCTCTCCAAGTCACTTCCAAGTTCATAGAATCCACATATAAGGTATTGTGAATTTAAGGCTTACCTTAGGCTTCTATTAATTTCTTAAAATCCGTGTAAGATTCTATAAAATAATATGATAATACAAAATGCAACAACAGTTTAAATTTTAAATTACTTGACATGTACTTTACAGTTGTTACCTTATGTTTTCATTCCTTCTTAGGAAGGTAATACATTTTCTTTAAAAAAAGCAGCTTTGTCATATTTAGAAAAAGAAAGAAAAATAAGCTTGGTCAAATTGTTAGCAGAGCTGAACATTAGACAGTGTTCTTGTTTCAGGCAAGCTTTGTTTTTCTGTATTTTCAATGCGAAGTCAAGCGATTGCCTTACCTAACTGAAGTTTTCAAAGCAATGTAGGAGATTTGAATTAACCTTTTTAAAATTGCAAATCCTTTCACTGCTTCTCAGGACCTCAGTGGAGGAAGTTTATATATGTATGATTCTGCTAAATATTTCTGATAACATTTTACTAAAGGGTTCTCTCAGAATCTGCTTTTGTGGTTGTGGTGTTTAATGACACAGCTTTTTGAGGTGATTTGAGGTAAAGCGCAGATGACAGTAAACATCCAGCTGCTTTGTTAGTGAGGGGGGCTTTAGAGCATAGAAGCACCTTTTGTTTGCACAAATATTTGCATCTGATATATAGGGGAGAATATTTATTTGGATGTTACATCAATGAATCAGACAGCAGCTGATACAGCAATAAAAAATTACGTAGTTAATTTAGTAACTTTTCTATTTACTCTTTCATAGAACAGTTTATAAGATGGAAAAAGTACAATGTAGTTCATCTTCTTACTTCTAAAAAAAATTCTAATTTTAGAAGCATTTTTTTCATTCCAAGAACAGACAGCCTGTAAAAGTAGAAATCCTGGGTTGGAGGTGGAGTTATGGAGAAGAAAAAAGTCATCATGAAACATCTGATACAGAGCTTTTGCATGTGTTCTCCTCATTGCAAGTTTGATGTCTGTTTTGGCTTCACTTTACCTAGATCTGCATTGACCAAAAGCTGTTCTGAAGTATCTTTCCATTCTTCTCTGAGAGTAAGGTCAGTCTGGCATAAAATTCTGTGGAAATTTTGCGGTCACAATTTTGTACATAGAGGAACTGGGAAAAATATCTTCATATTAGCATACAAAGAAAATTACTGTTTTCCTTATGGAAGCCTGTGGTCTTTAAGAATACTTCTGTAGTTAAAGATAGCTGTTGATAAGGTACTGTTCAAGTTTGGTCAGTGAAATACAGTTAATTCCATCTGTTACACCATTGCCTTTAATACAAGCTTAGACAACAAATGTTAGTTTAAAGATGGATACCTTTGAGAACTTCTAATTTTTCAAAGAGGTACAAATCTAATGAACTAAAAAGCTTTTAGCTCTCACAGGAACAGCTGTAGATTATTACCTACATCCCAAGCAACTATTATTTTTTTTGTTATTTTAATGGGGCAAGTCACAAAAGCATGAATGTGAGCAGCAAAATATACCCCAATTATTTTATATGTAACTTAATAAGATATCTCCAGAGGTCTGTTTTATGAGATAAAACACAAAAGCTCATGAATGCTGGCCCTGTTTTGACACAGTGGGTAATTTCAATATGTTAAACATGCTCTATTATATTTAGGACAACTACTGGATCATTAAATATATTGCCAGTTTTGGTTTGGTACTTGTAGAGAGCAGTAGGGTCTCTCCTGAGCCTGCTTCTCTCGAGACTAAACAACCCCGCTTCTCTCAGCTGCTTCTCAGAGACTAGAACAGAATATTGCAGAAGGAAGGGACCTACAACGATCATCTAGTCCAACAGCCTGACCAAAAATTAAAGCATGTTATTAAAGGCAGTGTCCAAATGCCTTTAAAACATTGACAGGCTTGAGGTATTGATTAACTCTCTAGGAAGCTTGTTCCACTGTTTGTATGCTACCATCTTGGTAAAAAAATACTTCCTTGTGTCTAGTATAAACCTGCCCTGAAGCAGCTTTGAGTCATTCTCATGTGTCCTATCACTGGATCTGAGGGAGAAGAGCTCTTCCTCTCCACTTCCCTTCCTCAGGAAGCTACAGAGAGCAAAGAGGTTTGCCTTCTTGGCTTCCAGGGCGCACACTGCTGACACACTGCTGGCACACTCCTATTGACCTTGCTGTCCACCAGCAGCGCCATTCCTGCAGGACTGCTTTCCAGCCACTCCTCTCCCAGTTTACACTTGTATCCAGCATTACTTTGTCCCAGACACAGAATTCAGTATGTTAATTTGTTAAATTTTATCCCGTTAATCATAGCCCAACACTCTAATCTACCCAGACCCCTCTGCAAGGCCTCTTGTCCCTCAAGAGAATCAGAAGCACATTCCATCTTAGTATCATCATAAACTTGCTAATGGTGCATTCAACTCCTGCATTCAAATGATTCAACAGAACTGGCCCTAGAATTGAGTCCTGAGGAACACTACTGGTTACTGGCCCCGTTCACTACAACCCTCTGAGCTCTGCCCTTCAGCCAGTTCTTCACCAAGTGCACCATGAACCCACTCATCCCGCAGTTGTACAACTTGTCCAGAAGGAAACTGTGGGGGACGGTATCAAAAGCCTTACAAAAATCTGGAAAACTACATCCACCACCTTCCCTTCATTCACTGGGTAGGTGACCTTACCACAGAAGGATATCAAATAAATTAAACATGACTTTCCCTTTGTGAACCAATGTTGACTGTGCAGTGATGCTTGCATTATTCTTTAAATGCCTTTTGATAGTACCTGATAAAATCTTCTCCATGATTTTACCAAGAACAGAGGTTAGACTGACAGGTCTGTAATTCCCTTGGTCTTCCCTCACATCCTTTTTGTAAACTGGAATAACATTGGTTAGCTTCCAGTCAGTGGGGACCTCCCCAGGCTCCCAAGACCTTTGGTAGGTAGTCAAGAGGGGTCTTGCAGCAGCATCCACTAGCTTCTTCAGTACTCTGGGATGAATCCCATTAGGCCCCATGGATTTGTGAACATTCAGCTGGTACAGCTGGTCCCTTACAATTCCAGTGTCCATAAATGGAAATTGTTCCCACAGTTATGGGTCCTCCAACTCAGGAGACCAGGCAGCCCAAGGTCTATTAGTACTATTAAAGACTAAAGCAAAACCTGTGTTGAATGCCTCTGCTTTTTCTTCATTGCTATTAGTGAGATGACCATCTTCAAAAAGTATTGGTTCAATGTTTACTTTAGACCTTCTCTTGCTTATTAACGTGCTTTAAGAAGTCCTTCTTGTTATCCTGCACAGCACTGGCCAGTTTCAACTCTGAGCTTGGCCTTTCATGTCCTTTCCTTGCATCTGCAAACCACAGCTCTGTAATCTCCCTGTGAAGCCTGACCTTGCTTCCAGAGATCCATACAATTTCTTTTTCCGCTTGAGCTCCACAAGTAGTTTCCTGTTCAGCCAAGTTGGTCTTGTGCCCCACTTGTTTGATTTACAAGACAGTGGAGTTACCTGGTCCTGTGCTTCTAAAGGATAATCCTAAAAAGTGACCAACACTCCTGGACTTCTAAGGCCTCAAATGCAGATTCCCAGGGTCCTTTGCTATGTAACACCCTGAATAGCTTGAAGTTTGCTCTCCTGAAGCCCAGAACA